CTTGATGCTTTTTATGAGGATTTGGAGGAAGTCATCCGCAAGGAGAAGTCCTTCTACAAATTCGTCGTGGTGACTTTAAATCACAAATCCGGAATGCCAGAAGAAGGGGAGCACAGAATCGGGAGATTTGGGTGAGGACTCCGGAATGAGAATGGTAACCGTCTTATTGGGCTCTTATCCGAATTACGACTTTTTATGTCTTCATGAAGAAAGAACACCGGCAGAGGACATGGGAGTCACCCAACGGTACGACTCATGCAGAGATCGACCACATTCTCACCAACCGGAGGTGGTACTTACTGGACGTCTCAGTGGTACCATTCTTCAGTAGTGGCTCACATCACCGCCCCCTTCGAAGAAAAGTGCGATTCAGCCGAAAGCTGGAAAAGAAGTGCCACCGTGTTGGAGGAAGGAGAGAAGTCGTATGTGACGGCGTCAGATTGGAGGAGCTCCCAACCACTTGTCACTGGCAATCGAGGAGGACCCGATGAAAGACTTACGACCTGCTTCTTAGAGAACTGAGAGCCTGTAATGAAAATGCCTCAATGCTTCGCATAAGAATGGAACGAATTTCAAGATCAAGAATCTGTTAGAGAGGGGAAGTGCACTGAGGCTAGATCCGACTGCACCAAATCTCGAGCGACTGGTAGCCAATACTTGTTGTAGAATAGCTTTTCAAGAAGATTCTCAAAAGTACAGGCAACCGCAACTTTCAGAAGCAGCGCAAGGAAGGAGAAGTCTAAAGAAGGACCTTCTTGACTGTGGTGTTCTGCTGACAACACTAATTACTAAACGAAGACGGGCTCGCATACTTTTCGACAAAAGATGGAATCGATCACGAAGAGATTCCACTTCCTCTTTCGCTCGTCAACACCGTATCAAACCCCGCTAGTCTCACTGGAGAAATTCCACCACGGGTCCTACCTGGGAAGTACGCGCTGCAATCCAGACCATGAAGACAGCCACAGCTCCGGGACCATGTTTCGGTCGACGAAGTTCTTACGAGCTGGAGGACATTGCTTACACGAGATACTTGCGGAACTAACGTCTTACCTTCAGAAGGAAAGGAAGCCCAACCTGTAGAACAAGCTGGATTTCGCAAGGGATTTGCTGCGTGGATCACATCCAAACAGTTTCGAGGATTATTTTGCCGAGAGTACCGCCTACTTTTCTTCCAGAAAGCATCTGACGGCGTACAGATGCCATACTGTCAGCGCTCGTCGACCATGGGGTGGACCCATCTTACGTGAGCACATTGGCTGACTGCTACAAGAACTGCTCTACAACGGTACAGCTTTTTCATCATTTCTTTAACGTACCAATTTCGAAGGGAGTTCGACAAGGCGACACCGTGTCGCCAAAACTGTTTACCGCCGTGTTGCAGTGGGTGATGACATCACTGGATTGGAACGAGAGAAGTATAAGAGCTGATGGGAGATTCCTCTCGAATCTTGTGCGGACGACAGTTCTTTTCTCGTGGAATATCACTGAAGCGGAGACGACGTTGAAGGAGCTGAGTGGGGAAGCGGATAGGATTGCGAATCAACCGGAAGAAGACTCAGTTCATGAAAAATGTTTTTGCGAGGATGTAAATGGGATTAGAAGGCTGTCCAGTCGCGGAAACGTCTTCTTACGTTATCTCAGTCGATGAACATGGAAAACGATCTAGAAGAAGGACAGGAGGCGAAGAGCAACTTGGGCCGCCTTCGGGCCCCTAAAGAAAGCCACAGACCAACTGACGGACTCAGAGCTCCGTGCCCACCTTCGATCCAACCGACCTCCCTGCGCTCTATTACGCAACAGAGACGTGGCTTGACACGTGGCTACGTCGAAGGCACTTCGAACAACACATAGAGCGGTGGAACGACTTCTTCTGAGGTACAATCGACGCACTCAACATCTCGTCGGAATTCGCAGTTCACATATGAGATGTCTCGTCTTCGCGATCCAGCGAATACGTCTCTAAGGCAAAACATTGATGGGCTGGTCATATTATGAGAAGGACAGGCGACAGATGGACATTAAGAACTCTGGAATGGATCCCTCGC